CGCCGGCTCCCACCCAGAGCCCCTGGCGAGCACACGGCGGCTTGTACTATGAGCCAGCGTGGCTCCCGTGGAAACAGCCATTCAAGTACCTTCAGCGGTGCTGCTGCTGTCACGTCAGTGCTCCCTCCAGTCGCTTAAAGGGAGAAAAGGATCCGTAGCGTCACGTTAAGTCACACAGGCAACCAGGCTTCACACACAGCCTTTCCCCCCCTCTATTAAATGGATGGGCTAAGAACGGAAACTTGTGCCACCCCTCGGTTTTTCCATCGTTACAAAGAAAGCGTTGCTGGGTGTAGAGAATGCGTGGTTTAAAATTTAAAAATAGGCAAGATCAGCATCTTTCCTTAAGGCAAGGCTAAGAACAGGAGACGCTCTCTCAAAGTGTGAGGCACTGCTTTCTATTTCTGTCTATCTGCAAACGTTTAAAAGCATTTTACGGTTTTGTGTGTGTTTGTTCATTACAGACAGGGTCTTCTTTAGCGCAGGCTAGCCTCAAACTCAATTCTCCTGCCTCAGCCTCTTGAATGCTGGGATTTCGAGCCACCGTGCCTAGCCAATTCATATTTTAAATGTTTCCTTCCATTAATTCTATCAGAAGTCTGAGTAAGAGTCCGTCAGGCTCTAACACTGTGCTGGATATTTTACAAATGCCAACAAAGGTATGTTTGTTTTTGAGACGGGGTCTCACTATGTCTCCTGGAACTCTGTGTAGACCAGGCTGGCTTGGAACTCACGGAGAGCCACATGCTGGAACAACAAGGCTGTTCTTTCTATCGTACTCTGTATCTGTTAACACTGTATCTTACTATTCTTTCTGTTCTCTGTTTTGTAACTGCTTCCCGTGCCTTACCCCTTAAAAAGTCTGTTCTCTTTGATGACATTTCCAGAAGGAAGGCGGCTTGCTTAAGATCTTAAGCTTGGGTCTCACCTGGGGACTCACTTGAGTAATCTGTTAAGTCGGTTGTGAATCTGCATTTTACACTTTAAAACCCTTTCTAATTATGGAATGAAGAGATTTGCCTCTTATTTAAATACCTGAAGCAACTGGGAGCCATTAGAAGGGAGATTTGGAAAGGGGACCCTTCTACTGGCCTCTGAAATCCCACTGGCCCAGTAGTTTCCATTTTATTGTGCTTAAAATATTTTTTTCAGTGTTAGAATTTTAACGACACAGTTGGAGAAATTAAACCAATAAACAATAACTGCCGAAGATGGTTACTGCAATGAATAGCATCTCTTTATTCAGTAATACTGGTTCAATTCCTAACTGGCTTTCCTTTGGCTCTAAGTTCAAGTTGGAGAAAACTTCTTCCCACACTATTAAAATGTGAGGGATGTGTGGTCTTTTTTTGGACATTACACTCTCTTCTGCCTTGTGGCCACACATTGAGCTCAGAGTTGAACTGATAGTCATTCTGGTTTAAGAGCATGATGACACCATTGTGACATAAACATTGTGTGCTCTCCATTGTGTGGCTGAGCCTCTGTGAAGGAAGGTGGGAACAACAAAACTGGTCCAGCAGGCACAAGGGCTCTGCAGTTATAACTAGGTGACTCTTGGTCCCTCCTTGCCTCTCCATCCTTCTCTTGACACCCTATCACATTGCTGAGATCCTGGGACCCCAGAGATCCTGTCACAAGATCTCTTTCCTTTCTCCCTGCTACCCAGTATCAGTGTGGGTATCTCCCTTCCCTGGCTGTTACAAAATCCAAAGCCCAAAGTCTTTGCTGATTCAACCCTTCAGCCACCAGGATATTCAGCACATGCCCATGGAAGCTGGAGCCAGAGCTTTTGGAGAATAAGATACAAGCCTTTAGTCTTTCACTGTGTTCTGAGAGCCAAAAATGTTGGTGCCAGCTTAGGCTTCATTACTGGAAACACAGCAGAAAGGACAAATGCCCACATCCCCTGGACTGCTCTAAGCTAAGTCACACCCACACTCCTACCAATGTGTAGAGGGACTGAGGCTAGAACAGGGCAAATTATGATGAGTGGTGGGGGGAGTAAGAACTCTAGCCACTGTCTTATGTCAAGCAGTTTCACAACTAGCTGTTGAGGACAAAAATGTTTAACCCCAAAAGAAACTTAGGTTCACTTGCTGAAGCTGGGCTTGCCATCTTTACTGATCTCCTACTCTGGACCACACTGTCCAGAACAAAAGCTCTGTGTG